ATGAACGAAAGAAATGAATACAAACAAATGGGGCTGTTAGGACAGGGACGGTGGGCACGTTGGTGCGCTTATGCACGTCCCCTTTATGGACCTCTTAGGATGGGGTGCGGTCCATGGGTGACAGTTTAAAATTGAAGCTGTGGGGGTTAGAGGACGTAACAATGGAGCCAGGTAGAGCATTCCAGCCATTGACTTATTCTCAGCTGAGAAGAAGGCCATTAGAGGACCCATCCCAAGCACCTGAGATGAGATGACATCAGGATCCTCTGTTTCTGGCCCTTGTCATTCAGATCTGGACCCAGACACTCAATCCGTTCCACATGTAACATCAGAATTCAGACTGTTTGCTGAAACAAGACCTGGCTCTGAAGCTTGTCTGGCATGATGATCACGCTCTGGATTCCCTTTGAATTCAGAGTGTATTTATTTCTACCCCTTTGCCCGTTGGATGTGTAGCCTTGTAATTGCTAATTGATTCCATTCTGGTATCATTTTCAAATCACTTAAAAGCAGGCACTGAATTTAAAGCCCGTCTTTAAATTCAGTTTTTATAACGGTATTTTGCCTTTCCTTCAAGGATTTAGGCTGAAATACATAGTGAGTCCTTGCTCCCTTTACATTTACTAACCCTGATAGCTTAGCTAAACTGAATTACTAATTTAAGGTCACAGAGTTACAGATGAATAGCTATTGCTCTTCTGTGGTCTATTTTGCCTTTGATGTAATTAAACAATAATTGTTTGTGTCTGAAGAAAAAATGATTTAAGAGTGCTATCATCTCCTCCATGGCTTTAGTCTCTGAAAATTAAAAGTTCCCATTTCCTTCACTCTCTCTTCATATGATGTTGTTTCTGGTCCCTTGATCACATTTGTTCTTCCCTGAACTTAATTGGCTTTGATCATAAAACACTGTTGCCCAGAACGGGACATCATTCCCAAGATGCGGATAGAATAATGGAACTCTTTTTTCGCCCTTTCATCTGAAAACTTTAGTTTTATGGCCTATCCTTCCATGACCTAAAACTATATTTCTCTTTCGGGCCATAGCTATTCAGTCTGCAATCAACTACTTTCAAGTGCTATTCTTTTCACGGTTATTACTAGCAAGCTAAGTAATCATGTATCTGTATTTGATTCTTTCTTCTTCCTAAAGAGAATAGCATTTGTCTTTTTAAAAGTTAATTCTATTATTTATAATTTCCTAACTTTTTTTAAAAAAAATGTTTCGAAACGAGGGATTTTGAGAATGCCTTTAATTAGCTCTCATTTATTTAATGGACATTTCCAGCTATGACGTTGGTCCACAGTGGTTTTTAAAGTCCCCTGGAGTAGCTATCACTTCGGACAATCTGGAAATCGTAACTATCCATGTTCACTGACAATAATAGAGCCACAAATGTTGCTGGATGCTATTGTGGGTGACAGGATTCCCTTCTTTTATTGAACAACAACAGCAAATGGTTGCTCCCAATGGACTTAAATCAGCCTACTGTGAGGTAGACTGGGTCAAGTAACTGACTCTACAAGATGACTCAAACTCTTGTTTTATTGAGATTGAATATAGCAACAGAATTTGGCAAGTGTGCCTACGTTTTCCTTTCCCTCCTATTTATATATGAGGAGTTTGAGTCTATTCTTCATACTCTCCCCCCCTCCTGTGTTTAATGCATCTTTCAGTAGTACTTGTTGGCCTAACAACATCTGGATTCCTTCTTCAAGTTCATCTCCATGGTTCCATATGAGAAGGCATGGATAGTGGTGGAAAGATAATATTGTCCATTATAAAATACTGTCTGATTTGACTACAGAGGTCTTTTTTTTTTAGTGAGAAAACAAAGGATGCTCTTCTGGAGCTAAAGGGGATATTGGAGACTAACCCCAAAATGGTAGCCCACTACCCAGTAGAAGTGCGCTTCACCCAAGGGGATGACTTCCTCCTGAGCCCCTGTTTCCAGAGGAATAGCTGTTACATCAACATTATCATGTACAGGTGAGAAGGGGGGGAGGCATAACTGGAAAAGACAAGCTGGGTAATTGGAGGCAAGTGTTTCTTTCAGTGCCAATGAAAACTAAAGTGAAGCTTAATTAACTGTAGGCCAAAAAAGCAGAGCTTTAAACATGAAAGACTTGTGGTTCAAAAGGGATGAATGAATCCTGTTTTGGCCCCTCATGATGTCTACACCTTTCATTCAACTTTAATGGCAGGCTCTAACAGAACACCTCTATTTTCTTTCCCAGAATCTCCCATCTGTGAGTCTGGCACAGAGAGAGCTTCTGGGGAAACAAGGGAAGTTCCCTTCCTACCAATAGGCATTGCTTTATTTCCAGAAGATTCCTCCCTCACGGTGCTCCATAGGGAGGGTGTCCTGGGGGGGGAGGATGGCAATCACCAGAAAAGCACCCTGAAGAACCAGCACTCCTGCAGCGAGTTTTCTGTTTGCCAAAATAAATTAATAAAATATATAAACTCTGCTATCCTCCCTATTTCTTTTTTAAGCTGAGCCTCAGCTGCAAAGAAGTAGTGGTACATTCTGATCCAACACTTGTCCTGTTATGATCAGAAGTGTGACATTCAATGTGGTCACTTTCGGTACCACATATCAAGGTCTCCAACCTTGGCAACTTTTAAGACTTGTGGACTTACTGGTCAATTTATGCAGCACTCCAGGATCATTCCAGCACTTCTAGAGGAGTGCTGCATAAATTGACCAGTAAGTATTAATCTCACCAACAAACCCCACTGCTCCAGAAAGCCATCTGAAAAGCATTGTTCCAGACTACTGATATGTCAGGGGTCTCCAACCTTGGCAACTTTAAGGCTTGTGGACTTCAACTCCCAGAGTTCCTCGGGGAGAAAGGAACAGATTTCTATCCCTCAACACCCTACTTCCTACAAAGAGCCATTTTAGAACAGCCAATGGTGCCCTTCAGATTTACTGAAAATGCAACTACAAGAATTTCCAGCCACCTGGGGATT